CATTCTTCCCACTGACCCCCCATGTAAGGAGCATTCTTCCCTCTGACCCTGATGATCTGCCTGGACTACATGAAGAAGGGGACATTCTTCCCACTGACCACCAATGTAAGGAGCATTCTTCTCACTGACCCCCAATAGGAGCATCATAATTTGAAGGGTTCCTCCATGTTTATAAGGTTGAGGAACACAGCTCTAGCTGTCCCTGTTGGAGATTTTCCCTCTTTGGGGGGATTGCATTTGTTTTGTGGCTCTCAGAAGGGTCAGGATCTGAGTGCACTGATTGGACGTCGGGTATGTTGGTCTTTCAGGTGTTTGCAGGATGCGGGATTTCTGGAAGGCCTGAGAAACTACTACAAGACTACATTTAAGATGCCGCCGGTCTCTGAGGATTGCCTGTATCTGAACATCTTCACCCCGAGCGACAGAGAAACCAATTCAAAGTTACCTGTAAGTATCTCAGGTGCTTCCTGACACCACGCAGCCCCCTGGTACCGGCCCCGAGGTTCTAACATTCTTCCATCAAGGAAGAAACTTTTCATCTCCGATGCAACCAAACCGCAGATTTTCCACAGCTCATTCCTCGATGACCACATGAACGATTTCTACATTGTCTCCACCTATGTTGTCACCCGGCACGCTGTTCTTGTGTTATCAGGTCATGTTCTTCATACACGGGGGCGGACTGGTGATTGGGGGAGCAAGTCTCTATGATGGCTCCGTGCTCAGCGTCTCTGAGGATGTGGTCGTCGTGTCCATTCAGTACCGGCTGGGAGTTCTGGGATTTTTCAGGTGAGTCAATTCTCTGTGTCTGTGTGTGTCTCTGTCTGTGTGTGTCTCTGTCTGTGTGTGTCTCTGTCTGTGTGTGTTTCTGTCTGTGTGTGTCTGTTTGTGTCTCTGTGTCTGTGTGTGTCTCTGTGTCTGTGTGTGTCTCTGTGTCTGTGTATGTCTCTGTGTCTGTGTGTGTCTCTGTGTCTGTGTGTGTCTCTGTGTCTGTGTGTGTCTCTGTGTCTGTGTGTGTCTCTGTGTCTGTGTGTGTCTCTGTGTCTGTGTGTGTCTCTGTGTCTGTGTGTGTCTCTCTGTCTGTGTGTGTCTCTGTCTGTGTGTGTCTCTCTGTGTGTGTCTCTCTGTCTGTGTGTGTCTCTCTGTCTGTGTGTCTCTCTCTGTCTGTGTGTGTCTCTGTCTGTGTGTGTCTCTCTGTGTGTGTCTCTCTGTCTGTGTGTGTCTCTCTGTCTGTGTGTCTCTCTCTGTCTGTGTGTGTCTCTGTCTGTGTGTGTCTCTCTGTGTGTGTCTCTCTGTCTGTGTGTGTCTCTCTGTCTGTGTGTCTCTCTCTGTCTGTGTGTGTCTCTGTCTGTGTGTGTCTCTCTGTGTGTGTCTCTCTGTCTGTGTGTGTCTCTCTGTCTGTGTGTCTCTCTCTGTCTGTGTGTGTCTCTGTCTGTGTGTGTCTCTCTGTGTGTGTCTCTCTGTCTGTGTGTGTCTCTCTGTCTGTGTGTCTCTCTCTGTCTGTGTGTGTCTCTGTCTGTGTGTGTCTCTCTGTGTGTGTCTCTCTGTCTGTGTGTGTCTCTCTGTCTGTGTGTCTCTCTCTGTCTGTGTGTGTCTCTGTCTGTGTGTGTCTCTCTGTGTGTGTCTCTCTGTCTGTGTGTGTCTCTCTGTCTGTGTGTCTCTCTCTGTCTGTGTGTGTCTCTGTCTGTGTGTGTCTCTCTGTGTGTGTCTCTCTGTCTGTGTGTGTCTCTCTGTCTGTGTGTCTCTCTCTGTCTGTGTGTGTCTCTGTCTGTGTGTGTCTCTCTGTGTGTGTCTCTCTGTCTGTGTGTGTCTCTCTGTCTGTGTGTCTCTCTCTGTCTGTGTGTGTCTCTGTCTGTGTGTGTCTCTGTCTGTGTGTGTCTCTGTCTGTGTGTGTGTCTCTGTCTGTGTGTGTCTGTTTGTGTCTCCGTGTCTGTGTGTGTCTCTGTGACTGTCTCTGTGTGTGTCTCTCTGTCTGTGTGGGTCTGTGTGTGTCTGTGCGTGTCTCTGCCTGTGTGTGTCTCTGCCTGTGTGTGTTTCTGTCTGTGTGTGTCTGTTTGTGTCTCTGTGTGTGTCTCTGTGTCTGTGTGTGTCTCTGTCTGTGTGTGTCTCTGTCTGTGTGTGTCTATGTCTCCGTGTCTGTGTGTGTCTCTGTGTCTGTCTCTGTGTGTGTCTCTCTGTCTGTGTGGGTCTCTGTCTGTGTGTGTGTCTCTGTCTGTGTGTGTTTGTTTGTGTCTCTGTGTCTGTGTGTGTCTCTGTCTGTGTGTGTCTCTGTCTGTGTGTGTCTATGTCTCCGTGTCTGTGTGTGTCTCTGTGTCTGTCTCTGTGTGTGTCTCTCTGTCTGTGTGGGTCTCTGTCTGTGTGTGTGTCTCTGTCTGTGTGTGTTTGTTTGTGTCTCTGTGTCTGTGTGTGTCTCTGTGTGTGTCTCTGTCTGTGTGTTTGTGTGTGTGTCTGTCTCTGTCTGTGTGTGTCTCTGTGTGTGTGTCTCTGTGTGTGTGTGTCTCTGTGTGTGTGTGTGTCTCTGTCTGTGTGTCTGTCTGTGTGTCTGTCTGTGTGTGTCTCTGTCTGTGTGTGTGTCTCAGTCTGTGTGTGTGTCTCTGTCTGTGTTTGTGTCTCTGTCTGTCTGTGTGTGTGTCTCTGTCTGTGTGTGTGTCTCTGTCTGTGTGTGTGTCTCTGTCTGTGTGTGTGTCTCTGTCTGTCTGTGTCT